GTGTATTTTAATTAACGTTTTTTAAGAAGCAGATGTATTCGAACATAAACTGTACACATTGTTTGACTTTGTATTCAGCTTTGTCCAGCGGTAGTTATAACATATGATATTTAATCTTTGTCTTGTGTGTATTTTAATTAAAGTTTTTTAAGAAGCAGATGTATTCGAACATAAACTGTACACATTGTTTGACTTTGTATTCAGCTTTGTCCAGCGGTAGTAATAACATATGATACTTAATGAATGTAGGATGGAGAGAAGACAATTAACGACGAATGGAGAAGGGTGGGATATTTTGTATATATTTCGGAAAAACATTGGCCAGGATTTTATAATTTGTAAGATATACTTAAGAAAACCTTGTTTTTGCTAAGTTACCGGACTATATTCAGTTGCCTTCTCTTTTTGGCCTGGCATGGCCAAAGTGGTCACGGTGCTCGACTCGCAACCTACGAGCCGCTGGTTCGAATCACCGTCCCCCCCCCAAACATGTTCGCCCTTCTAGCCGTGGGGGCGTTATAATGTGACAGTCAATTCTACTTTTCGTTGGTAAAAAGAGTAGTTGGCGGTGGGTGTTGATGACTAGCTGCTGCCTTCCTTCTAGTCGTTCACTGCTAAATTAGGACGGCTAGCGCACATAGCCCTCGTGTAGAGTTGCGCGAAATTCAAAACTAACAAAACCTTCTCTTTTTCACGTTAAAGAAAAATCATTTTAGGTTTGGTTTTAAAAGATTCAAACTGCTTCTATCTTTATATAGCATATGGTATTAGGACAAACAATTCGAAAGAAATATTGCTCTTAGAGAGAAATAAAAAAACGTATTTTTTCTCGACGACACTGCAACTTTACACATGATTTAATTGGGAAATCTGGTTATTTGTAACTAATAGCCAAAAACTGTCAAACTTGTAGAAAAACCGTTTTGATACACACGTATGGAATAGAGCCATTGTCTAGGAGGTTTGGTGGTACCCTGAAGGCTTTTCCTCCCTAGTTTGTTCAGAAGAAAACTTCATCCCGCTGTAGTCCAAGTTTGTTTGTTTAAACGCAACGCTACTCTGTATCCACCGAATATTATAGCGTTGTAAGTCCTTGAGCTCACCGTTTTGGAAAATTATCATGAAACATTTTTAAATATTTATTAAATATTCGTAAAAGAAAAAAAATCAAGACTTAATTTGAAGATGGAGTTTATGTGTAGGATTATAATGACAATTTTATATTGTGAAATAACTGAGTAGATGAAAGCTTTATCATAATATATATATATATATATACTGTCTTGTCTATATATATA